AGCCACCAGGCCTGGCTGGTAGATTGGCTCTTTACTGGCTCTCTGGCGAGGCAGGGATTATCCCATTGTTGAGATGAGGAAACTGAGACTCACGAGGTGATTTGTTAATATCAAGAGAGGCTCCCGCTCCCTGCCCACGACCCTTCCTGCTACCTCCTCACCTTCAGCACCAATGGACACCAGCTTAACCCCCTTGCTAGCAATGAAGTCCAGGGCCTTGTTAACGTTGGCGATTTTGTGGAAGCGCATCTTGCCTTTATCTGGCCTGGGCAGCCGCTCTCCTGGGTATAAGAGGAGAGTCCAAGGGCCAAAGGTCATGAGAGGCAGCTGAAGCCATTGCCCACAAACTCTCCCCTCCCCGCCAAATCCCGTTAAACATTCCGCCACCCTATTGCCCCTGCTGTCCAGATGTTCCTGGGTCCTGGGGCCCAGGTGCACTGATTTCCCATCCTCACCTGAAATAACCTCCAGGAGCAGCATGAGTTTGAGGCCATTGCGGAAATCTTCCTCGATGTTCTCGATCTGGGTGCCCGCCTTGCGCAGGTGTGAGTTGCACCAGGCAGTGAAGGTCTGGGGGCAGACGACAGCACTCAGACCCTACAACCAGGTCTGGGGGATGTGGGGCATGATCCTGTCTCCTCACTCAGGGTAGGTCTCAGAGCCTTGTATTTCTGAATTCAAGTCTCAGCTCAGCTCAGCCACTGACTTGCTGTGCATCCTGGGCCAGTCCCTTTCCCTCTCTGAGCTTTAGTTTTCCTGGGAGGGGAGAAACGGGGTCTGGGACCCATGCAGGTCCCAGTTTGGACTTGGGGCACCCTCTCACCAGCACTTCAGCCTTAGCTGGTCTTAAATACTAGAGGGGGCCCTAGAAAATATTAACACATTCAAAGTGTGGGGCCCTCTGAGGTCTTGAGCTGTAAGAACCAGTGCAGGGTGATATTGCCTTTCTGAAATCTGAAAACTCCTAGACTGAAGCACATCTGGCCCTCAGGGTTTTGTCTAAGGGACTGTCTCTGTGTTTCTACTTTCTTAGCCCCACTGACCTTCCAGGGCTGTTGTAAATTGGCCTCCGAGTAGACCCTAAGTGTGCAAGGACTCTGCCGGCTGTTGGAGGGTCAGCCGGCAAGGGTCAGGCCTAGCCTGATCTCATTTTGTTTTTTTAGAGACAAAAACAACAAATGTTGTCCAGGCTTGTCTCAAGCTTCTGGGCTCAAGTGATCCTCCTGTCTTGGCTTCCCAAACTGTTGGGATTACAGGCATGAGCTACCATGCCTGGTCTGAACTCATTTCCCGGGGTGACCGCCCATCCCTTCACCAAGAGTCAGCCTCAGGCTCAGGCTCAGGCTCAGGCTCCATCTGAGAAGAGAGGGATGGTACAGGGCTGTGCGTCTGTTGGGGATAGGGGTGACATGGCACTTGGTACTCAAGTTTCTGCCAACCTGCTGCCCTTCGGGTTCTGAATTCTGTGTTTCCAGAGACTCCTTGGTAGAGTCAGGGTGGGCTCCAAGTCCAGCTGAGCCACTCACTCTCTGTGATCTAGGGTCAGCCCCTTTCCCTCTTTGGGGATTGGTCTCCCCATTTGTGTAATTAAAGTAGGCACTGAGTACAACTTGATGGGAACCCAAGCACTGAATAGGGCAACTGGATTTCCCACAGTTCCCTCCAACCCTGGAGTCTGAGATGCTTTGAGTCTGGAAAAGGCAGGGGGGCAGGCAGGTCTGGATGGTGCCAAACATGACTCTGAATGAGATGTGGTTCCTGCCCTAAGGGAGCTCATAGTCTATACAAGAGTCATGTTGATCTGAGAAGTGCTGGAAGAAGTTGCTGAGGAGTTTATGGGAGGGACGCTGCAGATCAGGGTGCGGGCCTCTTGGGAAGGCCAGCATTTGATCAGACTGCGATGGGCAGGAATTATTCAGGCAGGGAAGGGCAGGCAAGGGCATTTCAGGCAGGGGCAGCCTTGCGGGCAAGTGCTTGGTGGCTGAGAGAAACAGTTGCTACATTTGTCAGACTACAAGGATCTGGGCACTGCTGGAATAGAGCTGGGGGTGTTGGGGCATAAGTGGTAACAGGCGGGCCGGAGGGGCAGCAGGGGCCAGGTCATGCATCATCTTGGGTGCTAAGCCGGGGAGATTAAATTTGATCTTGAGGGCAACAGGGAGTCAGGGAAGCCTCAGGCAAGAGGGAGGTGGGCAGAACTGTCCATGCTGGCTGCAGAATGGAGCTAAATGGCTTGGCGCAGCAGAGGGGAGAAGTTAGGAGGCAGTAACTGGGACCAGGGCAAGAGAGGAAGGGTGTCAGTGATGGGGACAAGGCAGGATCGGGTGGATGAGACGGAAATGATGGAATGTCAGCTCCCTGCGACAGGGGCTTTATTTTGTCTGCTGCCGAATCCCAGCACCTAAAACGGTGCTGGCACATAGTAAGTCATCAGGTGGGAGGAAGTGGGCATGCTGCTCCAAGACCGTGTGAAGGAAGCCCTTGGATGGAGGAGTCACTGGGGAGAAGGGGAGCATAGAGGAACAGGGAGAGGGCAGGGCTAAAGCAGAGCGCAAGGATGTTTATTACCACCTTGCAATAAACAACGCTGGACGAGAAAGACGTGAGCCACTACAGGGGATGCTGATTGATTTTCAGAGCCTCTATGCTGCGCAGCTGTTGAATGAATGGATGAGATGGTGACTGCAAGTTGCGATGAACAGATGTTTCTGATATTTTGTTAGGTGACAAAGGCAAGTTACAGACTGGTATGTGTCATATGAGGGGCATGAAGACCTGGATCCAGGAGAGGCCCGGGTGGGAGGGGTTAGGGATGGATGTTGCAGAACAGGTGGCAGCTGGAGCCAAGGACAGGGATGACATCACCAGGAAATTGCTGAACCTGGGACTGCAGCCAGGCTGGAGACAGGTGCAGGGGAGCCTAACGGGAGGTCTGTCACCTGGGGAACCCCAGCTGAGTCAGCGTCATCTCCTGCTATCTAACCCAGCGGAAGTGTTCTGATTCTAAATTCTAGGATTCTCAGGTCCTGCAAATTCCACTGAATGCCCTGGTACCCTTCCCTTTCCTGGAGTCATACAGTATTGGCACATGCTGAGCAGGGTCCAATGGCTCATGGTTTTCTCCTAGTTACCCCTGGCCTGCCACTCCCCAAATTTTTCTCCCTCTGGCCTGGATCATTTTCTCTTTGGGAACCCAGGTGTCCTGCCCCCTCCACTTGGGAAAGTCTGGAAGTGAAAATAGCTCAGGGAGGGAGGGGCCCTGAGTGCCCAACGGGCTGGGCCCCTGAGGTGCTGCCTCAGCACTACGTGTCCATCTGGCCAGAGAGTCAGGTTACTGCGTAAGGGGACCCAGGTCTCCCCTCCCTGACCTGTGGTCTTTTCAGCAGACTCAGGGCCTCTGGGGTATCTTGGGAAAGAATGGGGGTGGGGCAAGGGATAAAGATCCTCAGGTTAGGGGGCCCTGAAGTCTGACAGTCTGTGATTTGAGGCCTGTCTCTTCTCCTTTCTGGGCTTCAGCTTCTTCAATCGTTACATAAGATACAGCGACTATGAACCCCACCCTGGAGATGGGGTGGGGTCTGAGAGGACCCTCCTCACCCTACCACACTCCCAAGTCCACTAGCTGCTTGGCTGCAAGCCCTCAGGGTGGGGCCTGGGAATATTTAACTAGAGAGTGGTGGGAGATTCTCCTTCCTGAACCCCGAAACTTGGATCTCCTGGACTTTGCCCAACCTGTTTTGACCAGCAGAAGTGGGGCAGTGGGCCCAGGGGAATGAACCCTGCGGGGTGGGGACCCCAGAAACTCTCTTGTCATTCTAAACCCCTCTTGAGGGTTCCCAGTCCTCTCCGCCAGCCCTGGGGACAGCAGACAGCTGATGGGCAGGGCCTGGGCTGGGGACTGGCACTCTAGGTTAAAGACAGCCTCTGCCCCCCTGCCCTGCTGAGATGCCCAGGACAAACCGCCCGGCCTCTCAGGCCTCGGTTTTGCTGTCGGGAAATGGGCGAACACTCACTTTCCGCTGCTGCTTCTCCCAGGCCGGGTCCAGCAGCAGGTCGCGGTCCCAGTCCTCCTCCTGTTCCATGTACTCGCCGCCCCCGCCGCCGCCCGCGAAGGGCCCCTCCCCGGCCCCCAGACCCTCGGGCTGTATAACCATCATCATCTTGCTCGGGCTCCTGGCTTCGCTCCGCTCCGCGCGCTCTCGGACACCCGGGCCCCGTTAAGTAGGGCCCAACCCAGCCCCGGATCGAATTCGCACTAAATATGGGGGAGGAGGGAGGGGCCAGATGGGGCGAAGGAGCTTGGACTGGACCTGGCAAGGGGTTGTCCTGGGGCTAGGGACTGCGGAGGTGGGGGGCGCCGGGATGGATCTCGCGGCGGAGATCCTGGGTTTGCGTTCCCGCTCCGCTGCGGGGGTGCTGTGTGACCTTGGGAAATCCACGGGACCTCTCTGTTTCCTCCTCTCCACAATGGACAGGCCGATAATAATAGTGGCCGTGGGCCGCCCTAGCGGCTGCCCTCCGGCGCTCCTCGCCAGCCTCTTCCAGCCCCTAGCTGGTGGGACACGGAGCCCTATCCCCATTTCACAGTCAGGAACACGAAGGCGCCGAGCTGTTTTGCATGTTTTCTGGGGTGATGAAGGGAGACACCGGGCATGGGGAACGGCTCTGAGCCAGCTGGATGGGCCGCGGCAGGGCTATTAATATCGGGGCGGCTGGGGGGAGTAGGGGAGAATTTGCTGAGCCGGGAAATCCCGACCGACGCCGCCCAGGCTGCAACTCAATCCCCCGGGCGCGCCTGGGCAGCGGGCGGGGCTCCGGCGGGGAGGGCGGGGCCTCCCAGGGTGGGCGGGCCGATCACTCCGCGGCGTCCTCCGTGATCCAGTGCTGCGGGTTTCCCGAGCGCCTCCTGCTGGTCCGTCGGTCCAATCAACTCGCCCCGTCGGTCGGCCGCTCCCTGAGAGATTAAGCGCTCGCCGCACTCCTTCGGAGCTTTTATTGGCCGTAGCAGACGTCCGTCTGCCGTTATTCCCGCCCCAATACGGAAGCGGCCGAGTCCTCTAGCTGCGATTGCTGGGGTGTCCAGGCCATGGGGCAGCCCTGGGCGGCTGAGGGCGCGGATGGGGCGCCCGCGCGGCTGCCTCTCATGCTCACCGCGCTGTGGGCCACGGCCGTGGGCCTGGAGCTGGCTTACGTGCTGGTGGTCGGTCCCGGGCCGCCCCCGCTGGGACCCCTGGCTCGGGCCTTTCAGCTGGCGCTGGCCGCCTTCCAGATGCTCAACCTGCTGGGCAACGTGGGGCTCTTCCTGCGCTCGGATCCAAGCATCCGCGGCGTGATGCTGGCCGGCCGTGGTCTGGGCCAGGGCTGGGCGTGAGTGGGGCGTGGAATCCGGGGGGAGAAGTGGGAGACTTTGCTAGGGCGGAAGGGCCCCAAGACTTGAGATGTTAGAACCGGCTTACATTAGGATCCGGGTTGTTAGAACCAGAAATTTTTTTAGAACCTGGGATGGAAGAGCTAGAACGACTGTTATTCACTCACAGCTACTTATTGGGCACCTACTAGGTGCAAGGTACTAAGGCTACAATAGAACAGATTCCTGATCTGGAGCTTATTTAGGGGACAGATGAGAAACTAGAGGAATAATAAGAAAATCATATAGAATGCTAGAAGGTGATAGTAGTATGGAAATAAGAAGTAGAGCAGGGTAAAGAGGTTGCAAGTTTCAGTATTAGGAGGCCGAGGCCGGTGGATCACCTGAGGTCAGGAGTTCGAGCCCTGACTGCCCAACTTGGAGAAACCCCGTTTTTACTAAAAATACAAAAAAAAAGAAAAAAAAAAAAGCCAGATGTGGTGGCACATGCCTGTAATCCCAGTTACTCAGGAGGCTGAGGCAGGAGAATCGCTTGAACACGGAAGGCAGAGGTTTTGGTGAGCTGAGATTGCACCATTGCACTCCAGCCTGGGCAACAAGAGCAAAACATATCAAAATAAATAAATAAATAAATAGGTGGTCAGGCCAGGTGCGGTGGCTCATGCCTGTACTTTGGGAGGCCAAAGTGGGAAGATCACTTAAGGTCAGAAGTTTACAAGCCTGACCAACATGGTGAAACCTCGTCTCTACTAAAAATACAAAAAAAATTAGCTGAATGTGGTGGTGTGTGCCTGTAATCCCAGCTACTCAGGAGGCTGAGGTAAGAGAATTGCTTGAAGCTGGGAAGTACATGTTGCAGTGAGCAGAGACTGAGCCACTGCGCTCCAGCCTGGGCTGCTCTGTCTCAAAAAAAAAAAAATTATTCCAAGTTGTATTGATAAATCATAACATTACTTGGTATCCCATAAGTATATACAACTGGAATTTGTCAATTAGACAATACAGATTACACCAGGTAACAGGCTCTCCACACACATTTTATGCCGGGCACAGGCTTTTGCCTGTAGTTCCAGCTACTTGAGAAGCTGAGGCTGTAGTGATGTGTTCACAGATTGCACCTGTGAACAGCCACTACACTCCACCCTGGATACTGTAGCAAGACCCTGTCTTTAAAATGTTTTTAAATTATTATTATTATTATTTTGAGACGGAGTTTTGTTCTTGTTACCCAGGTTGGAGTCCAATGGCACGATCTCGGCTCACCGCAACCTCCGCCTCCTGGGTTCAGGCAATTCTCCTGCCTCAGCCTCCTGAGTAGCTGGGATTACAGGCACGTGCCACCACGTCCAGCTAATTTTTTTTTGTATTTTTAGTAGAGACGGGGTTTCACCATGTTGACCAGAATGGTCTCGATCTGTTGACCTCGTGATCCACCTGCCTTGGTCTCCCAAAGTGCTGGGATTACAAGCATGAGCCACCGCGCCTGGCCCAATTATTATTATTTTTATTGTGCAATGCTTCATGAATATGCGTGTCATCCTTGCACTAATCTTCTCTGTATCGTTCCAGTTTTAGTATATGTGCTGCCGAAGTGAGCACTAAATTCTTTTTTTTAATTAATTTTTTTTTGAGATGGAATCTCACTCTGTTGCCCAGGCTGGATTGCAGTGGTGCGATCTTTGCTCACCACAACCTCTGCCTTCTGGGTTCAAGTGATTCTCCTGCCTCAGCCTCCCAAGTAGTTGGGACCATAGGTACACGCCACCATGCCCGGCTAATTTTTGTATTTTTAGTAGAGATGGGGTTTCACCGTGTTGGCCACACTAGTCTCGAACCCCTGACCTTGTAATCCACCTGCCTTGGCCTCTCAAAGTGTTGGGATTACAGGCATGAACCACCACGCCCGGCCAAATTGATTTTTAAAGTAATAAAAATAAATAGGTGGTCAAAGTAGACCTCATAAAGAAGGAGGCATTTGAGCAAATCTTGGAGAGGGTGGGGGAGTTAGCCATGTGGGAATCTGAGAAGGGTGTTCCAGGCAGAGGGGACAGATGAAGCAAAGGCTCTGAGGCAGTTCTATAGGTAGCACGTTCCGGGAACAGCAAGCAGGCCACTGTGGCTGGAGTGGAGTAAGACAGGGGAAGAGCTCTCACAGATGGAAGGTGCTGTAGGACATGGAAGGCTTTGAAATAAATTGGAGAACCACGGAGGGTTTTCAGCAGAGGAGGGTCAGTTTGGTTGCTGGGGTAAGACTGTGTGAGGTGGGGCAAAGGTGGAATCGGAGACCATTTGAGAGGCTATTGCAGTAATCCAGGGAGTCCCTAGTGACCTTGACAAAGGAGTATCCATTGTGGAAGGGAGAGATTTACTGCTGGATGTTAGTGGCTTGAGAGAGGTCTCAGGACGGGGATGTTAGGGCTGGAAGAGACCTAGAAGGGTCTAGGACATCTTGTTTAGTCTGCATTTACCTGTAAATAAATTGAGGCTTATGGCTGGGTACTGTGGCTCGTGCCCGTAATCCCAGCACTTTGGGAGGCTGAGGTGGGCGGATCACAAGGTTAGGAGATTGAGACCATCCTAGCTAACATGGTGAAATCCCGTCTCTACTAAAAATACAAAAAATTAGCTGGGCATGGTGGCGGGCGCCTGTAGTCCCAGCTACTTAGGAGGCTGAGGCAGGAGAATCACTTGAACCAGGGAGGTGGAGGTCGCAGTGAGCCGAGATGACGCCACTGTACTCCAGCCTGGGCAATAGAGTGAGACTCCATCTCAACACAAAACAAAATGAAACAAACAAAGAAATTGAGGTGAAGCAGGGCAAATGACTGTTCCTGCTTCCCCAGGATGGGCTCTGGGGCTGCCCCATGCATGATATGGGGCACGTGAGCTGCTAGGGGAACTGACCCTGTGGTTTCTTCCTGCAGTTACTGCTACCAGTGCCAAAGCCAGGTGCCGCCACGCAGTGGACACTGCTCTGCCTGCCGCGTCTGCATCCTACGTCGGGACCACCACTGCCGCCTGCTGGGCCGCTGCGTGGGCTTCAGCAACTACCGGCCCTTCCTGTGCCTGCTGCTTCATGCCACCGGCGTCCTGCTCCACATTTCTGTGCTGCTGGGCCCTGCACTGTCGGCTCTGCTTCGAGCCCACACACCCCTCCACATGGCTGCCCTCCTCCTGCTTCCCTGGCTCATGCTGCTCACAGGTGGGGTGCCTGGGAGGCCTCTGCACAGAGGCAGGGGCCTTGGTATTGGGCTGGGGAGTACAGCCCACTCTGGTGGGAGATGGGCTTTCTGGCCTGGGGGGACGCAGCCCCTGTGTCAGTTATGGTGAGTAAGGGCAGCTTGGTCTTCCCCTGGGGCTGCAGAACAGAAACTGGTGCGTTGAGACAAGGCAGCGTTCTGCCCAGAGAATCGGAAGGATTCCAGGGGTTGTTGAGAGAGGAGAAAGACCTGTGGGAGTTCCTGCGTGGCAGGATGTGGGAGCAAATTCTAGGGGTATTTCTAAGTGAGAGAAGCAGCAGGAACAAAGGCTTGGAGGGTAGGCGGGAATTGTGAGAATTAAGGCCAGATTGGTAGAGGAGGCCCGGCTGGCGGGGTCCTGAGCATCGGTGTGAGATGTCTCTTACGTGACTGGACAGTGGGGAGCCAGTGAAAGTGACAGGCAGGAGGAGGCCCAGGTATGGAGGGCAGACTTGGATCAGGAAGCTCCCTGAGATCCCATGTTCTGGATGACACGTTTCTCTTTCTCCCACACCTCCGCAGGTAGAAGCCCCGCTGGTCCTTTTTACTCTTTGTTCTCTACGCCCAGAATGCTTTGGCCTTTCTTGCCCCAACTCCTTCCTCCTGACCTTTCCATGGTTCCCTCTCACTTCGATCTGTGGTGAGGAACCTCCCCAGCCACTCCGAGTAGTCTCTGTGCATCCTCATCCTATCCAAGCCCAGCTCTGTGCATGGAGCCCAGCCTGTAGCCCAGGGGAGGCCTCCCCACTGGGGTTATCGGAGTCTTCATCTGCCCACACTGGCTTCCCGACGGGCCCTCCTCTGCCTTCCTCGTTGACCCTTCCATGAGTCTCAGCCCTCCAGCCTCACCCCCGTCCTTCCTTGTGGTCAACACACACTCCCCTCAGTCACGGAAGACTCCGGCTTCAGTCTCAGACTTTTGCCCAGCCCTGGGCCCTATAAAAATCAAGGTGTCTGGAAGTTTGCATGACCAGCACCCTCAATGCCTGGGTGGCTTAGCCCTTGGCCGCCTCCTTCATTTTCCTTCCTTCTCCTACTCCCATCTCCACACCCAGCCCTGGTCAGAATCCAAAACTGAGTCTTCCCGCAAACTACCCATCTGCCTCCCTCTTTCTGCTCACCACCTCCTCTCCTCTCCATCTCTTACTCCTCTATGCCCTGGCACCCGCTTCATGAGCCTGCAGGCTCATGGCCCTCACCGCCTGTCTGTGACTTTCCACCTTTGCCACCGATGTCAGCTCAGAATTCATCCTTCCCACCATTCTCCTGCCAGCGTCGCAAACTTCCTCCCTCATCTTCTTCCATGATGCCTTCCTGGCTTCTCTGTGTCTGCCTCTGGCTGCTGAGAGCCAGAGGCACTGGTAGTCTGTGGCAGGTTGATACCATGCCATGCTCCTGGCTGCTGACCTCAGCAGGTCCTCTGCCATGCCTGGTCTCCCTGTTTGTGCGTAAGCTTGCTGCCCCCAGTGACAGCAGCTCAGGCCTTCCCTGCCCTCCCACGCTTCAAGCTCTGACACCGAGAAAGCGAGAAATCAGCTGGTACATCCCAAATTGCGCTGTCCTCAACTCTCCCAGCCCGGCTGATTGTCTCCAGTTTCTTATGTTTGGTGCCTACCTCCCTGCTTGGAGTCCTCAGGCTATGGCGCCTGCCTCTCCTGCAGGCTGGGCCCCCTCTGCTGGTTCCTCCGGCTTTAACACCTTGGACAAACCCTCCTTTGTCCCGCTCTAAGCTTCCCGAGGGACTTGCCCAGGCTCATGGCTTTGCATTCCCTGCCTGCTCCAGCCCGACTTCTGCCACCGCCACTCACCCAGGGATCTGTCTCCATGTACTTTAGGACCCACTCGAGTTCGTGCTTTATGAGACCTTTTAGACTCATGACAGTGCTGGCCCCCAGGCCCTGTGAAGTGTTCTCTGATTGGCGTCGCCGATGGCTCGCCACCTGCCTTCCTTTCTGGTTGCCCTTTGTCATCTTTTATCTGATCCCCAATAACTGATTTCCCCACGCTCCTGTCTAGGCGCCGTTCCCCTCTCACCCTGCACTTTGGCAGGTCTGGCTGTGCCCGTAGTCTTGGGGCCCTGCACCCCTACCCGACGGTCCCGGGGCCCTGCGCCGCTACCCAACGGTCCTGGGGCCCTGCGCCCCTACCCGACGGTCTTGCGGCCCTGCGCCCCTACCCGACGGTCCCGGGGCCCTGCGCCCCTACCCGACAGTCCCGGGGCCCTGCACCCCTACCAGACGGTCCCGGGGCCTTGCACGCCTCTTGCATGGCCACTTGTCCAGCCTGCGCTCCTCCCTGTGCTTGCAGACCTGCAGACTGGCCACCTGCTTGTTTCACAGGTGCCTCTGGCCTGCCTCAGGACCTTCAAAGAGAATGTTTTTTTTGAGATTCACTCTTGTTACCCAGGCTGGAGTGCAATGGTGCTCACTGCCATCTCCGTCTCCTGGTTTCAAGTGATTCTCCTGCCTTGGCCTCCCAAGTAGCTGGGATTACAGGTTCCCATCACCACACCTGGGTAACTTTATATTTTTAGTAGAAGTGGGGTTTCACCATGTCAGCCAGGCTGGTCTCGAACTCCTGACCTCAGGTGATCTGCTTGCCTCAGGCTCCCAAAGTGCTGGGATTACAAGGGTTGAGCCACCACACCTGCCCAAACAGAATGTTTTATCCTCATTTTATAAACATAAATGAGGTCTAGTTCACTTACTGAAGAAAAAAAAAACAGGTGAAGTCCACTGCTGCAGCCCTCTTAGTAAGTTTGCATGGCATACACCAAACCCCGCCCCTTGCCATATGCTCTTTTTATTGAGGTGAAATTCATCATTTTAATTATTTTAAAGTATACAATTCAGTGGCTTTTAGTACATTCATGATGTAGTACAATCACCACTGTCTAATTCCAGAACATTTTCACCTTAAAAAGAAACCCTGTACCCATTAAGGGTCCGTCCATATTCCACCCTAATCCCCTCAGCCCCTGGCAACCACTCATCTTTCTGTCTCTGTGGATTTGCCTATTCAAGATGCTTCACATAAGTGGGATGATAATGTGACCTTGGGTGCCTGGCTTCTCTAACTGAGCGTAACATTTCATGGCCTCCCGTACTCCACTAGTTCTGCTGGTACTTATTGCTCACTGTGGGCCAAGATAGCACAGGATCCTGGCTTTTCTGTGGTGGCACACATTAAGTAACAAAGAATGGTCTCTCTCTTTTTATTTTTTTTTGAGATGGAGTCTCGCTTTGTCGCCCAGGCTGGAGTGTAGTGGCGCAATCTTGGCTCACCGCAACCTCTGCCTCTCAGTTTCAAGCAATTCTCCTGCCTCAGCCCCTCAGCCTCCTGAGTAACTGGGATTACAGATGTGTTCCACCACACCCAGCTAATCTTTGTATTTTTGGTACAGATGGGGTTTCACCATTTTGTCTGGACTGGTCTTGAACTCCTGACCTTGTGATCCGCCTGCCTTGGCCTCCCAAAGTGCTGGGATTACAGGTGTGAGCTGCCTTGCCTGGCTTTTTTTTTTTTTTTTGAGAGGGAGTCTCGCTCTGCCGTCGCCCAGGCTGGAGTGCAATGGTGCGATCTCAGGTCACTGAAACCTCTGCCTGTCAGGTTCAAGCAATTCTCCTGCCTCAGCCCCTCAGCCTCCCAAGTAGCCGGGATTACAGGCATATGTCACCACGTCCGGCTAATTTATATATATATATATATATATATATATATATTTTTTTTTTTTTTTTTTTTTGAGAGGGAGTTTCGCTCTTGTTGCCCAGGCTGGAGTGCAATGGCACAATCTCAGCTCACCACAACCTCTGCCTCCTGGGTTCCAGCAATTCTCCTGTCTCAGCCTCCCGAGTAGCTTGGATTACAGGCATGTGCCACCATGCCTGGATAATTTTGAATTTTTAATAGAGACGGGGGTTTCTCCATGTTGGTCAGGCTGGTCTCAAACTCCTGACCTCAGGTGATCCGCCCGCCTCAGCCTCCCTAAGTGCTGGGATTATAGGCGTGAACCACTGCGCCTGGCAATTTTTTTTTTTTTTTTTTTTTGAGACAGAGTCTTGCTCTTTCACCACACTGGAGTGCAGTGGCACGATCTTGGCTTACTGCAACCTGCTTCTCCCGGATTCAGCGATTCCCCTGCTTCAGCGCCCTGAGTAGCTGGGACTACAGGCATGTGCCACCACACCCGGCGAATTTTTTGTATTTTATTAGAGACAGGGTTTCATCATGGCCAGGATGGTCTGGATATCCTGACCTCATGATCCACCTGCCTTGGCCTCCCAGAGTGCTGGGATTGCAGGTGTGAGCCACTGCGCCTGGCCAAATGTTTGTATTTTTTAGTAGAGATGGAGTTTCACCATGTTGTCCAGGCCGGTCTCAAACTGACCTCGGGTTATCCACTTGCTGGGGGCCTCCCAAGGTGCTGGGATTACAGGCAGGAGCCATTGCGCCCCGGTGAGAATGGCCTCTTTGATGTCTGTGAGCTCCCTGAGGGCAGAGACGCCCTCTAGTGCCTGGCACCACCTCTGGGGCTAAGGAGGTGCTCAGCAAGTAGGTGATGCAGGAATGAAGCCGTATCCCAAGCAGGGGACTGTGCCTGCCCGGTTTACCAGTGTGTTCTTGTCACCCAGCACCGGCTGGACAGTGAGTATAGACACAGACACAGGGTTTGCTGAGCAGAGGAATGAGCCCTGCTTTGCGGTGGAGGGGAGTGGGTGAAAGAAGAGCTGGGTTCTACTGCCACTCCCTGACCTCTGCTCTCTCCTTGCAGGCAGAGTTTCTCTGGCACAGTTTGCCTTGGCCTTCGTGATGGACACGTGCGTGGCGGGTGCGCTGCTGTGCGGGGCTGGGCTGCTCTTCCATGGAATGCTGCTGCTGCGGGGCCAGACCACATGGGAGTGGGCTCGGGGCCAGCACTCCTATGACCTGGGTCTCTGCCACAACCTGCAGGCAGCCCTGGGGCCCCGCTGGGTCCTCGTCTGGCTCTGGCCCTTCTTGGCCTCCCCATTGCCTGGGGATGGGATCACCTTCCAGACCACAGCAGATGTGGGACGCACAGCCTCCTGACTCCAGGAAGAGCCAGAACTGTACAGGGAGGAAGGGGTGGGAGGGGGAGCCACCCCCCAGACTTAGGAAGGAAGTAGGGTTAGACCTTAACATCTGCACTGAACAACTCTACCCCTTCCTTGGCCTTGCCCCTGCCCAGCCTGCACTCCTACGGGTCCAGGGCTTGGGCTGTGACTTGGGCAGAGGAGTGCAGGGGAGTGCCTGGCAGGTGGCTTCTTAGGCTGCCTAGCTGCCCCTTTGCCAGGTTAATAAAGCACTGACTTGCTTCTTGGCCTCCCTCCATCTTTGCATGATTTCTGGCCCCTCACTTTGTTACTGGGGCTACTGTTTCTGGGTCCCTCTGTCAGGCCTGGAAACCCCAGAATGCCTGAGGGTCTCAGGGGCTGGGGCTCTACCTCCCCTGGCCTGGGTGAGTTGGGGGTGGAGTACCAGCAGGCTAAGGCAGTGTCCGAGTGATCCAGGCTATGAGAATCCAAACGTTCTTTCCAGGGTTGGCATTTTATAGTTAGAAGCATTTCTGCAACAGCAGAATGAGGTTCTGGAACCTCTTTTAGCTAACCTGGTCCATGAGGCAGCAGTTATGCACTGAGAATCAATGTGGTAAGACCATGGTGTGGCAGATGGAGGAGGATTCGAACCCAGGTCTTTGTGCTTTTGCCTTTACCCTTCCACAGCCGGAGGAAATGAGTAGGAAAGAAATCAAGGTAAAGAAATGGGCTGGGCTGTTTGGGCTCCTGTGGAGGGCGGTGCTGAGAGGGCTCGGCCTGCACCTCTCTGGATGCCTCAGGAGCTGCTTGTTACACGTTTCTGTATAAACAGAGTGAATAGAGATTGCCAGTTCCACACAGCTGGCTTAAACACATGAGTTCATCTCAGCTTTCTCTTAGGATCTCTGTAAGCTGATAGTAAAGAAAACCAAAAATATATACCAAGGGAAAGAAAATAGGACGGAAGACAGTAGAACCAAGAGCCTGACATTTTCTTTTTTCTCACTCTTTTGCCCAGGCTGGAGCGCAGTGGTGTGATCTCGGCTCACTGCAACCTCCACCTCCCAGGTGCAAACGATTCTCGTGCCTTAGCCTCCTGGGTAGCTGGGATTACAGGCACCCACCAGCACACCGAGCTAATTTTATTTTTGTATTTTTAGTAAGAGACAGGGTTTTGCCATGTTGGCCAGGCTGAACTTGAATTCCTGCCCTTAAGTGATCCACTGCCTCCGCCTTCATCTCCCAAAGTGCGAGGATTACAGGCCTGAGCTACCATTCCTGGCTGACATTTTCTTTAAGATGGAGTCTTGCTCTGTTGCTAGGCTGGAGTGCAGTGGTGCGATCTGAGCTCACTGCAACCTCCACCTCCCAAGTTCAAACAATTCCCCTGCCTTAGCCTCCCGAGTAGCTGGGACTACAGGCGCGTGCCACCTGGCTAATTTTTTTTTATTTTAGTAGCGATGGGGTTTCACCATGTTGGCCAGGATGGCCTCGAACTCCTGACCTTATGATCTGCCTGCCTTGGCTCTCCAAAGTGTCGGGATTACAGGCGTGAGCCACCATGCCCAGCCGCCTGGCTGACATTTTTCAAAGATGGAAAGTGGATGGAGAATTAAGAGTTGAAATCACGTATTCTCAAAAGGAGGGGCCAAGAGGCAAGTGGAATTACCTGCGAGAGCCCCAGAGAAGCTCAATAACTCCACCAGAACCATGAAGGGTGAGGTGATGCTTCAGCCAACAGTGGGGACTGGTGGGAAGTCAGTGTAATGATAAGTGGGTGCCGCTCCCCCACGTCCCCCCACACCCTACCCATGCCATGCAGCCAGCAGCTACCCCTCTGGGCGGGGTGGTGTGACATGAGGATTATTTGAAGGATAAATGGAACCAGAGAAGCTCCGGGTCATAGAGGTCTTGGGAAGGGGAGGGTGAGGTGTTGGACCGAAAAATGGGGTTAAGTGAAAGTCCACAGATACTGCTGGGCGGGGTGGGGGGGTCCTCCCATGAAATAACAGGCTGGGCCCCCAAGAACCTTCAAAGAAACGAACCCTTCTGCCAGGCTCTGCCTATACCCACAAAGATTTTAGCTGCTTGGCTGGTTGTGACTAAAAGGCATGCTCTGTGACTTTTTTAATGACAGCAGGATAACTTGGTGTGCTTGGCACTTGGGGCTATACATGCGCATTAGCAGACTCACCTTGTCCTGTTTCATTCCTTGCCCTCCACAATATCTTATTTACATGTTTTGTTTTTAATTCTAGCAGCTGTATTTTATTTTTTATTATGCTTTAAGTTCTGGGGTACATGGGCAGGATGTGCAGGTTTGTGACATAGGTATACACATGCCATGATGGTTTTCTGCATCCATCACCCTGTCATCTACATTAGGTATTTCTCCTAATGCTGTCCCTCCCCTATCCACCCCCCACCACTACCCCTCCCCTAGCCCCCCATCTTTTTTTTTAAGACTGAGTCTTGCTCCTCTGCCCAGGCTTGAATGCAATGGCCTGATTGCGGCTCACTGCTACCTCTGCCTCCCAGGTTCAAGTGATTCTCCTGCCCTAGCCTCCTGAGTAGCTGGGATTACAGACACCTGCCATCATGTCCTGCTAATTTTTATAGAGATGGGGTTTCACCCTGTTGGCCAGGCAGGTCTTGACCTCCTGCCCTCAGGTGATCTGCCCACCTTGGCCTCCCAAAGTGCTGCGATTACAGACGCGAGCCACTGCACCTGGGTTTTTTTTTTTTTTAATTAGGAGCTAAAAAACACATTTATAAAATTAATAAGAGAAACAACATCCCCGTTGCATTTGAGAAAGTTACCATGCCCTTTGAAGTTCCTGCTGTTGCCCCTCCCTGTGGGGAGACACTGTCCTGTTTCAGTCATTCCCTTACTTTGCTTTATAGTTTGTGTTTATATTGGTTTTGCCTGTTTTCACATTTATGAATGAAATCATGCTGGGTTTATTGTTTCACAGTTTGTCTTTCCACTCAAGTATGCTCCTGGGATGTATCCAGATTACTGTGTGTAGCTGGATGGCATTCCTTTCCCCTGCTGCATAGTGATCTGTTGAAAATACCACAATTAATTTTTCTATTTGGTTCCACTGGCCATTTTTTCTGCCAGATGCCCTTTGAAAATCTTCTCCTAAGCAGTCTAGTCTTGGCCCTTGCTCTTCCATGTAACCTTGAGAATCAGCTTGTCAAATTCCCCTCAAAAACCCCCTTGGATAGAGAATGGAACCCAGTTGAATCTGTAGATCAATCTGGATGAAATCAGCATCTATGTAAAATTGAATTTTCGAGTTCATGAGCATGGTTTATTTCCCCACTCAGTGTTTTTAATAAAGTTGCATAGCTTTTCCCATAAAGATCATGTCTTTTTAAATTGGATTGATTCTTAAGTATTTTATGCTATTATAGATGCATATGAAAACAGACTGTGAGCCTGGGCAGCTTAGCCAGACCTTGTCTCTACAGAAAATACAAAATTAGTGGGGTAGGGCACTGTGGCTCACACCTGTAATCCCACAATTTGGGAGGATCCCTTGAGACAAGCCTGGCGCGATCATGGAGTTTCTCAACTGCATTATCTGGCGCGATCTCGGCTCACCGCAACCTCCGCCTCCTGGGTTCAGGCAGTTCTCCTGCCTCAGCCTCCTGAGTAGCTGGGATTACAGGCATGCACCACCATGGCCAGCTAATTTTTGTATTTTTAGTAGAGATGGTGTTTCACCTTGTTGGCCAGGATGGTCTTGATCTCTTGACCTCATGATCCACCTGCCTCGGCCTCCCAAAGTGCTGGGATTATAGGCATGAGCCACCGCGCCCAGCCAATATTTTTATCATTTTTTTTTGAGATGGAGTTTCACTCCTGTTGCCCAAGATGGAGTGCAGTGGCATGATCTCAGTGACACCTGTGCCTCCCAGGTTCAAGTGATTTTCTCCTGCTTCAGCCTCTCAAGTAGCTGGGATTACAGGTGCCTGCCACCAGGCCCAGCTAATTTTTGCAATTTTGGGGCTTAATTGGAGTTCCAGAGAGAACAGAGAACATGAAGTGGGGGAATCACCCACAAAACAACAGCAGTACAATTTCCTGGAGCTGAAGGATGCACATCTCCACCCACAGCACAGCAAATGATAGGAACACGTGGTGGCCGGGTGTGGTAGCTCACGCCTGTAATCCCAGTACTTTGGGAGGTGAGGCAGGCGTTTCACTTAAGCCCAGGAGTTTAAGACCAGCCTGGCCAACCTGGTCAAACATTGTCTCTACTAAAGATACAAACATTAGCAGGGCATGGTGGCAGGCGCCTGTAATCCCAGCTACTCGGGAGGCTGAGGCAGGAGAATGGCTTGAAACTAGGGAAGTGAGGTTACAGTGAGCTGAGATCTCGCCACTGCAGTCCAGCAGAGTGGGATTCCATCTCAAAAAAAAAAAAAAGGGAGCGATCAGGACTAAGAATGTAAGAATGGCATCATGGAGTTTCTCAACTGCATTATCTGAAGTTAGAAGGCAAGGGAGTACTACCTGCAGGAAAAGTATTTTCAACTTTGAATCTTATGACCCAGCCAAACTGTCATATATGTATGAATTAAATAAAGAAATGTTCAGACAAGCAGTGTGTTAAGATTCTTAAAAACTCTAATGACCTTTTTTTTGGCGGGGCTAGAGACAGGGTCTCACCATGTTGCCCAGGCTGGTCTCCAGCTTATGGGTTCAAGCGATCCTCCCGCTTTGGCCTCTCAAAGGGCTGGGATTACAGGTGTGAATGACCATACCTGGCCTCTAATGACCTTTTTTTTTTTCTTTTGAGAGTTTCACTCTTTTTGCCCAGGATGGAGTATAGGGGCATGATCTCAGCTCACTGCAACTTCCGCCTCCTGGGTTCAAGCAATTCTCCTGTCTCAGCCTCCCGAGTAACTGGGACTACAGCTGCTTTCCACCACGCCTGGCTAGTTTTTGTATTTTTAGTAGAGACAGGGTTTCACCATGTTGGCCAGGCTGGTCTCGAACTCCTGCCCCGGCCTCCGAAAGTGCTGGGATTACTGGCATAAGCCATGGCACCCAGCCTTCTGGTCACAAGTTTCTAAAGATATTTGAGGATGTGTTTCACCAAATGAAGGTGAACTGAGAAATGGGAAGCCATGGGGCCCAGGAATCAGGATCTAGCCCAGGAGAGTGGGGCCCAGGAATCAGGATCTAGCCCAGGAGAGTGGGGCCCAGGGATCAGGATCTAGCCCAGGAGAGTGGGGCCCAGGGATCAGGATCTAGCCCAGGAGAGAGGGAAAAAGAATTTACTTGGAGAACAAATCGTCCTTAGTGAAACAGGGGATGAAGGAAAAGTGTCCAGAAAAAGAGGAGCTGTCAGACGGGGCAGGGGGAAGAATGTGCAATTGGTCTATCAGAAAAGAAAGTAAATGAGAAACTCAGGGCAACTCATTCGCTCCATAAAAAAAAAGGTACAACAAAGTGAATTTATTTATATTCCAATTCTTGGCTCTGCAGTTAATAACCTTCACATAATGATAGAAATAATATTCTAAACAGTATTTTTTTAACCTAAAAACTAGGGATGGGGGAGGGGTACAAGAGCTAAAGCCTTGTGTATGACAACAGGGAGTCAACAGGTAATGTCTAAGATTGATAAGAAAGAGTCATATAACCACATTTTAAAAATAGCTGAAAGAACTGGAAGTGACTGCTGGGTAGGGGAGCAGTACTAGTTTACTTCTTGCAAACTGTCATTCCACATCAGTAAGGAGGTACACGTTTTTAAATAAGTATGTTTTGGAAAGACACCGACTCTCCTTGTCCTAATATCTGCAGCTTCTCTAATGCGTGCACTGGGCACCCTGCAGTTCCTTGCTTCCTGTGGCTTTGTGAACACTTACTGTCTACATGGTTTGGCTCATGTTTCTTAGTGGTAGGTACCCAGCATTACATTATATAAATTGACATCCGTGCTGGGCATAGGTCTCCCGTTTCATCCTCAGAAATAGCTATGATGAGAACCCAGATCAGACTTTTTTGTTCCCAGTTCTCGAAGTTCATAGCCTGATTGGGGTGAAAGGGATCATCTGGTCATCTGGCCCATCCCATGACCCGCCATGTGATAGTGCAGCCGCCACTTGCACAGCTCCAGCAAAAGGGGCTCTTCACTTTCTAGGGCAGGCCCTTCCGTCTCTGCTAAGTTCTTCAGGTTAACTCCCTCTGCCCCAGGTCTTTCCACTTCTGGGTTATAACTCCTGCTTGTTCCAGCTGTGGCTCAGCAGGCTTCATCTAGAAACCCTCTGCCATCCTGACCCAATTGGTCTGTCTTCGAGTGGACATGCAGTGCAGAGTCCCTTGCTTCTTTAGCCTGACCTCAGATGCATCCCCTGAGAGGCACAGGGGTGGGTGGCGGGCTGCATCACCTCAGTCCCCTTGTCTTGGGCACAGCGACTGCTACCGGCAGTGGCAGTCAGCCTGGGGCCCTTAGCCTCAAGGGCAAAAGCTCTCCAGTTACTCCTGTTAAGTGTCAGCTTTCTGGAGTCAACTCCTCCTTCCTCCAGAGGGGCTGTCAAGCTCACAGTGTATTAGAGGTGAAAGAGTTTTAGGAACAATCTGGTCAAACTGCGTAATTTGACGTGTGGGAGACTGAAGCCCAGAGGGATCTGGTGACTTCCTAAAAGCCTGAGCTGTGCATCACACTGCAGGGTGCACCTTGGCAGGCCGGGGAAGAGACAGGTTTCTAGGGAGCAGGGCTCAGGGTGGCCTGTGAGGTGGGCCAGGCAGACTAGCCAGGAGCTTAGGCTGGGTCTGTGGGTCTCAGCACAGGACTTTGTTCAGTCTTCAGCTTTATTAAACACCTCTGGGCCCAGCCTTTCCTGCTCATTCTCACGATATGGCCACTGTCCTGGGAACTTCCCACTTACATGACTGATTTGGGCTCCAGAACACAGAAGGGCATCTATATGGGCAGTTCTGGACTTCTGCCTCCTGTGGCACTTCCCCAAAGCCCCAGAAATGCCTCTCCTGGTGCCTCTGGCCCTGGCTCTGCTGTTTCGCTCTGCCTGCCTCTCCTGGGGTTTCTTTCTGGGCATAAGCATGCCTGTCAGGAGCAGCTGCTGTGTGATCTCTAGGAGCTCTAGTGGCGCTGGAGCCACCAGCTCCCTGTGGGGCCCCATCTGCCCTCCTACACCCCATTCTCCCTGGACAACCTTTGCGCACCATCATAGGCCTAAGACCAGCTGAGTCTAAGATTTCCGAGAAGTTTCCTGGAGAGAGGAGGGCTATTCCCTGAGCAGGCTGCAGCCTAGCCTCTGGATCTCCAGGGAGAAACAAGAGGTACAATCTCAGCCAAGAAGAGCTGCTGAGTTCCCTGGCCAGGCCTAGCCCAGTTTTGGCCTTGGCCTGCAGCGGGAGACAAGTGACATGCATGAGGGATGTGGCAGTGGAGAATGGCTGGGCCTGTCTGCTCATCTCACTTTGACCACTTCAGAGCTCTGTTCCAAGCCCGGGGTGGTTTCTCAAAAGGCTGGGGAGGGGGAGGGCGTAGCAGGAGCTCGGGGGACCAATGCCTGGTTGGTCCTGAAGGAGGAGTCGAGCAGCTTAGGGTACTCACTGCTACTATAGGCCCAGTGGTGGGGGTGGTAAGAAAGGGGGTGCTTAGGAGAGGGGAGACAAGCTGTCACCCCAGTGCACTGCTGCATGAAGAATGGGCCTGGGGCCACTGAACCTGCCCAGTTCTCCCTGGCTGATTGCTCAGTGGCTTTCACAGCAGCCCAGGGCTCAGGTGGCCACCAGCCCCTCACTCCCGGGCATGTTGACGTGGGCGCTCAGCAGGGGTGCGCTTTGGCCTTCTCGAAGGACCAGCACCTATGGAGGAGTGACCATGGCAGTGAGGGGCATGCACCCCTGACCACTTGCCTGGTCTCTGGCTCCGGCCACTTGCCTGGCCACCGGGCTCTGCTATGGGGATGTTCCCACCCCCACCCGGGAGCCCCTCAAGGGCTTTGTTGGAGCTCACCCTTACTGTCCTCCCCAGGGTCCCGCTCGCCCTCCACATGGTACAGGTGCGGGACCTACCTTGATGATGTCTGAGATTCCCTTGTTACTGAGACTCTCCACAAAGGTCTCCAGGGGGTAGCTGAGCCCTGGCACCAGCAAGGGTACCTATGTTTAGGGACAAAGAAGGAAACCAGCCCACGTGCCAGTGTTTGGCACATTCCCAAGTGCATTCAGCACCTCTGCAGGGTGGGCAGGACGACTGCTGGGCAGAGGATGATGCAGGTATGGTGGGAGTGAATGTCCCAGGGCCACACAGGGAGTGAAGAAACCTAGATGTCTAGACTTCTACCAAGTTTGGGGCTGGTTACTGAATATTCCAGTCTCTCTGTTTTGGGGTCTCCCAAACTGGGGTCGGACCTGGTCCTGGGGGAAAACCAGGTCTTTCACTCTGTTGGCGATGCTCTTGGGGGCATAGAGGCTCCTGTTTGTGTTGCAGGAGTGGCTGGGAAGCAGAGTGGGCTCTGGGATCCCCCAGCCTCCAACAGGCTTCTGGGAGGTGTAGCTGGGGCTGGGGCTCAGGCTCTGGCGGCTTTCCCAGCACCTTCTATGTTGTTCCTGGAGACCCCTCACAGGCTGCAAGAAGAGCAGCAGAGGCGGGGCTTGGGTGCTCCCTCCAGAGGCCCCTGCTGGGGCCTTGGCCTGGTCTGTGGTGGGAGAGTAGGTCTGCTGGCCAGCTCCCAGGCAACCGCACGCTCTGACCCTGACCTGCCAGGGCTCTGTGGCATCTCATTGGCCCCCTGCCCTGGCCTTTTCTACTCCGTTTCTAAGTGAGGAGAGTCCAGTACCTTGAAGAAGGCCCGGGGCAGGGCATAGAGCGCCTCGTTGTACAGGAAGCAGATCAGCAGCCCCAGGATAGGACGGGCTGTCGAGGTGTTCTGCAGGTGAAGTGTGAGCTTAAAGGTGGGGCCCAGGCCCTGAACCTGTGGAGGGAGGTTCAGGGAGAAAGCCCTTAGGACCTGGCAGCCTTGGGCGAGAGGTACAGTGTGCCCTGCCTGCCTTCCACTAATGCCCTCATATCCTCTCCTACTAAATAAATCTGCCCCCGCAGACAGAAGACCAGAAGGAGCACAGGGGTCAGAGAGGCCAGAGAGTTGGAGCCTGAGGGAGGTCATACAGCAAGTTGGAGGCAGAGCTGGGCTGGGACTGCAGGCGCCGACTCCCACCTGAGCCCCTCACCCCCACCCCTGCCTGTTTCACCTCCCACTCTCGTCCTAGGGTAGCCTTGATGATTTCATTGTTCTCTTGCTCCTGAGTCACCTTGTAGCCTCGTCCTCCTCTACGTCTATCCACTGTCTTCAGGAAAAGAGAAATCGGAACCCGGTTGGGTCAGATGCCATACCTCAGGGACCCCTTTGGAGCTGGTCGGAGCCTTGCTGACCCTAAGCTCATTTGCGTCTGAGCCTGTGGACTCCTCTCCTTGTGCCTGTGCTAGTCTCGGTGCCTGTGGGTCAGGTTGGGATGGCCCTTTCCCTGTACCAGGCAGTCCTAACGTTACCAAAGTGACAGCCTTCTTCTCTGTACCATAGCTGTAGGGATCCCTCCAGGTTCCTGGGAAGAAATGTCCCCATGTGACTACTCTGGGGGCCTGTCTGAGGCACAACATGGAACAGGGGGCTGGAGAATGTCCCAGCACACGGCCAGCTGAGGGGAGAGGCGGCACAGGAGGGCAGGAAGATGAGGGCAGCTTTCACAAAGGAGAACGTGAGACTCAGTCCCCAGGTCTGCGGGAAGGTGATGGGAGGCACAGGCTGAGTTGGCTTGGAATCAGCTCTGGGGCTTAGCTGTGTGGCAGAGGGGTTCCTGTGCCCCCCAGCCTCTGCCCCCCCGGCCTGACTCTGCTCTAACCCAGATGCTCACCATGGCGTGCAGCTTCAGTGGCTCTCGGGCTGTCGTGGACACGGGGCTCAGGCTGGACTCAAGGGCCTGCAGGTAGGTGCGGGCAGCCCGCAGGCGCAGCAGGTAGAGATCTGTCTGGAAGGCCCGGTGCATGGCTGCAGAGAAGGGGCACAGAGGCTGGCGGTGGAGGTGGGAGGTGGCAGGAACAGGGGATGCTCCTGCTCAGGCTGCTGTGGGGAAGGTGCTAGAGGAAGGTGCTGCGGGAGGGGTCTGGAGGAACTGGGGAGGTGGGAAAGAGCCCAGCCTCTGGCAAAACTGGACAAGGTGGGCTTGCCCTGCCTCTTTCTCACTCCCCTACCACCTCCCTGCTCGCACTCTCTGGCTCCTTTGCTGGCTCCTCTGTCCGGCCCTAGAGGCTGGTGTTCTCCTGAATCTGGTCCAGTCTCTTCTCATCCTCCATTTTCTTCCCCTGGACAATCCATGTCCTGCCATAGCTCTGACCACCACAAAGAGGAACAGCTGCAAGCTCCTGAGGGCAGGTTTCCTCCTGAGTTCTCAGGGACCATGCTCCATACTGCACGTGTGACCCCAGCAGCTCAGAGAGCATTGGGCCTGCCTCCTGCTCATCTCCACAGGGAGGTCCCATCAACACCTCAGGCTCAACGCTATGGAAACCAGCCTAATGGTCCTGCCTCCATCACTGCCTCCCTGTCCATCAAGTCACCTAGGTCCACTCCTCATATCTCAACATTTGCAGGATGATTTGACTCTTCCCCAAGCTGCCTCCAGAGATCACCCTGCCCCCACCCCACTGTCTCTCTTCCAGACTGAGCACCTTGGTCCTCCAGGATGGCTCCACTCTTCTGTGTGTGAGGTGGCTTTTGCCATTCAGGAGATTACATTTTACATTATCCCACCTATTCACATGTCCTTTTTCTCCAGTACTTTTACAATTTATTTATTTATTTTTGAGATGGAGTCTCACTCTGTTGCCAGGGCTGGAGTGCAATGTCACCATCTCAGCTCACTGCTACCTCCGCCTCCTGGGTTCAAGCGATTCTCCTGCCTCAGCCTCTCAAGTAGCTGGGATTATAGGTGCCTGCTCCTATGCCCAGCTGTTTTTGTATTTTTAGTAGAGACAGGGTTTCACCATGTTGGCCAGGCTCGAACTCCTGACCTCATGATTTGCCCGCCTCAGCCTCCTAAAGTGCTGGGATTACAGGCGTGAGCCACCGTGCCCAGACCTACAATTTATTTTTAATCTATCCAGAACTAATTTTTGTGGCTTGTATGAATAAAAGGTCTAATTTTCTTTTCTAGAAGCAAGTTGTCCTATTCTGTGTTTTTGGACAGTCTCACATTTCCCTGCCAGTTCAAAATAACACCTTTTGCACACTCTGACTTTCCACATGTTCAGGGTCTGTCTCTGGACTTCCTAGACCTGCCCCTGCTCTCCGTGTCTATTTCTCCATCCACACCACAGCTGCTGATTCCCACAGCTTGAGTTCCTTTTGCTACCTCATAGGGTAAGTCCCCTCAGTCTTATTTTCCTCAAACTTCTTAGGTTTACTCTTTCAATCAACTGGCCAAGTCCTTAAAACAAACCCCACTGGGATTTTAACTGCAACTTTACTATGCTTCTTGATTAATTTCAGAAGAATCGACAGGTTTACAGCATTAGGTCTTCCTATCCTACAATGTGATATATCTCTCCACTTAAGCATTCTTGAAGGTGGTCTTTTCTGTTCTTGAAGATAGTTTCACAATTTTATCAGACTTCGTACATTTTCTTTTTCTTTGAGACAGAGTCTCGCTCTTGTTGCTCAGGCCAGAGTGCAGTGGTGCGATCTTGGCTCACTGCAACCTCCACCTCCTGGGTTCAAGCGATTCTCCTGCCTCAGCCTCCCGAGTAGCTGGGACTACAGGCACGTGCCACTGTGCCCAGCTAATTATGTATTTTTAGCAGCATGTTGGTCGGGCTTGTCACGAACTCCAACCTCAGGTGATCTGCCTGCCTCAGCCTCCTAAAGTGCTGAGATTACATGCATGAACCACTGTACCCGGCCTGCTCTCTTGAATCCAGGTCAACGCCCTGTGCCTCTGCCTACATTACCCTGCCTTGCCCTGACTGGGGGTCTGGCAATCATCTTTTAGGGTAAAGCCCAAAATCACCTCACTCTGAAGCCTTTCCCAAGCTTCCCAGGCAGAAGTCCTTACTTCGTGTGCTCCAAAAGCTCTTTGCAGAAACCCCTTCTATACCTGAATGTGAAGTTGTTCCCAAGGTAGGGACTATTCTTTTTTTTTATTTTTTGAGACAGAGTCTTACTCTGTCACCCAGACTGGAGTGCAGTGGTGCTATCTCGGCTCACTGCAACCTCTGCCCCCTGGGTTCAAGTGATTCTCCTGCCTCAGCCTCCCTGAGTAGCTGGAATTACAGGCGCCTGCCACCTCGCCCAGCTAATTTTTGTATTTTTACTAGAGACAGAGTTTCACTGTCTTGTCTAGGCTGGTCTTGAACTCCTGACCTTATGATTCACCCACCTCGGCCTCCAAAGTGCTGGGATTACAGGCATGAGCCACTGCGCCTGGCCAGTAGGGACTATTCTAATTAAAGGCACCTGGCACAAGGCCTGGTGTAATCATAGGTACTGAATAAATGAATGAATGAATGAACAAATAAACAAATGAGCAGGAAAAACTGGACAAGATGACATAGTCAAATTCTACTTTTCTCTCTTTCTCTCTCTCTCTTTTTTTTTTTTTGGAGAAAGAATTATCACCATGTTGCCCAGCAGGTCTTGAACTCCTGGGCACATGCTGTCCTTCCACCTCTGCCTCTCTAAGTGTTGGGATTACAGGCATGAGCCACTGTGCCTGGCCAAAATTCTGCTTTCCCATGATAATTCCTGCATTTGGAAGTGACTGCTCCCTTCCCTGAATTCTAAGGCTCCTGCCGTCACCCACAGCACCTTCCACCCTGAGGAAGAGTGATTTGCAGGCAAGGGGTACCTCCCGGGCTGCCCCTGGATTTCCAGAGCCACGTGACCTGCCTAATTGGCCGAGGTCTCCTCCCAGGGTGCAGGGTGGCTGCGCAGCATTCCCTCAGCTTTGCTACGGAGGAGGAAGAAGAAAAAGGACCCAGTGTGAGTCCTACCGGTGCCAGCCTCCCGCTCTCGCAGTGTCTGATCCACATAAAGCCGGGTCTTTCGAGGCACACTGAGTTTGATGGCCTGGGCTGGTGGGGGACCCAGCTCACTTCCTCCCTCTACAAACACTGCTGTACGCTTCAGGATTTTGATGATCAGTCCGCCGCCTAGGGAAGTGGACAGTGGGATAGACTGGTTCTCCCCAGTTCTAGCCCGCATTCCCACTCTTTCTTCCCCAATTTGCCTCCTATAGAGCTGTTTCTGTACACATCTGTGTTCCAGATGAGACTGTTTCTGGAAGGAATGAGGTGTATCTTAATAGTCTCCCATCATTAATTCATGAATCCACTTAGCAGTTATTTGTGGAGTACTGGGATGTTCTTGGCATTGTGGCAGGCATGGGGGATGCTGGGTGAACTAGAGAGAGAGAATCCAACCCAGGACCCAGCCGCTGGGTAGATATCTGATAAGCTGTCCCGTGGAGGTCTAACCCTTGAAGGACACATCTGTACACCTTGCTTTCCACACCCAAGTCCACGCATGCTTCATACCCACCTCCTCCTCTTTCCCCAGAAGCTGGTATGCCCCTTCACTCCCGACTCCAAAGCCCTTAACAGGTCTGACTCCACTCACCTCGTGTGGTCATGATGAGGGTGTTGTCCTCCCGCCCATAACGGCCAAAGCAAAGGCTGGTCACTGCATCCTACGTGGAAATGTCAGAGTTTAGCTGGGGAACTATCTTGGAGAGGAAAGCAAGAGCCCAGATGTAATAGGTGAGAAGCAATAAGAAATAGCCCTGAGGCATTGCTGCCTCTGAAATAGTTTCTATATTTCTCATCTGTCCTCCAAACTTACTGCCACAGTTCGAGACCAAATATCACTGGCCCTCACTTTTGGGGTCAACCTCCTAATAGGTTTCTCAGCCTCGTCTTTCTGGTCTTTCACCCCAGTCCGTCCTTTGCAGTCTGCCTTTGCTGCCTTTCAAAAACACAAATATGTCTGGTCTCTGCTAGAAAACCTCCAATGGCTTTTGTCCTCTTTGTTAGGACACTGAAGGCCTTCCACATTTGACTCCAACCTGCCTTTTCTATCAGTTTTCTCCTCTTTACCCTTCCTTTAACCAGCAGACCACCAGCTCTCCCAGCACCTACGGCCCAAGCCAGTTTTTTTCAAATTTTATATTGTGACATAGGACAATTTACACACACAGGTGCACATGCACACATACACACGTTTCACTTGTGACATACTTTTATGTTTATTTTTGAGATGGAGTCTCATTCCATCGCCCAGGCTGGAGTGCAGTGGTGCAATCTTGGCTCACTGCAGCCTCTGCCTCCCAGGTTCAAGCGGTTCTACCTCAGCCTCCTCAGTAGCTGGGATTATAGGCATGCACCACCATGCCTGGCTAATTTTTATATTTTTAGTAGCAATGGGGTTATGCCATGTTGACGAGGCTGGTTTTGAACTCCTGACGTCAGGTGATCTGCCCACTTTGGCCTCCCAAAGTGTTGGGATTACAGGTGTGAGCAAGTCTACAAATGTTTTTGAAATGCATCAATGTATGGTCAGGAGAGGCAGCTAAGAAGCCCAAGAGGTGAGACTAGGGCAAGGAGGAATAAGCGGCAGATGCTGGAGATAGGGCTTACCGGGGTGCGGATGACGTTGAGCAGGGCCTTGTCGCGATAAATGCGAACCTCTCCATTGGCCAGCCCAGCCATGACGGCCTGCAGGCCCCGGGAATGCTGCTCCAGGAGGTTCATGGTCAGGATGGCTGCGGGCATCTGCACTGTCCACAGCTTCTTACCCTGGCAGGGAACAGCCAGTGTCTATGGAGGGCTCAGGGCTTACAGTGGAAAGAAGGGTTTCTGGGGTGGGGAAGCCAGAGGGCTCTCTTGCCAAGGGGGTGCTGGGGACATAGGCATGGAGGGGCTGCTGCTTCCTGGGGGCTACACCTTGTGGGTGAAGCCGTGCAGGCTGTCTTGGGTGCTGCCCACAACCAGGATCTTGTGTACTCGGACAAGTCCTACAGGCTGGGCGCTCAGCTCGATGCAGTACTTGGGGTGCTTGGAGTCTCTGTGGAATAAATGACACATTGTCCGGCCCTGAGAAATCCTCTCTCCACTTCCATGGCTGACCCTCCTCTTTCTAAACCCTATGGACTCACCTGGGAGGAACACTGGCCCCAAAGCAGTTGACCCTGGGATTATTTCCACTCTGCCATCTTAGTAAATGTGTGGCCTTAGAAAACATCAAGTGTGTTCTCCTATGCTGTCTTCCCCCCACCTGTACTATGGTGGCTTGTATGATCATCTGGCATTTAACAGAGTTTTCAGCGAGTTTACCTAGGGCTGGACTAGCCAGGACAAGTGGACTTAGGCAGTTTACTAACTTAAGAGAAAAGGATGAAGAGCTTTGCCCTGTGTCAACACAGTTTTTAGTTTACTGGCCTCTCAATTTCAGTTCCCCGATCCAGAAAGTACAGTTCATTCTTCCCTACTTGAGAAGCACATGCCAATGTCTTTCCCTCTTCGAGTTTCCCAACAACACTCTTCTCCCACTTTCTCAACAACTGCTTCCTTCTGCTTTTTTTTTTTTGAGACAGAGTTTCACTCTTGTTGCCCAGGCTGGAGTGCAGTCGCGCGATCTCGGCTCACCACAACCTCCACTGCCCGGGTTCAAGCGATTCTCCTGCCTCAGCCTCCTGAGTAGCTGGGACTACAGGCATGTGCTACCACATCTGGCTAATTTTGTATTTTTAGTAGAGATGGGGTTTCTCCATGTTTCTCAGGCTAGTCTTGAACTCCTGACTTCAGGTGATCTGCCTGGCTTGACCTCTCAAAGTGCTAGGATTATAGGCGTGACCACTGCGCCTGGCCAATCGCTTTCTTCTTAACCTTCAAGCCACCTCCACAGTCAGGTGTTCCTGATCATCCTTACCCATTATTTTTCCCCACTGAGCTTGTATTTTTTCTCCATAGCACTCATCCAATTTTTAGTAATATCTTAATTTCTCGACTTTAAAACATCTGTCGTCCCATGAGGACAGGGAGCATATTTATCTTGTTCATCAGCATAACCCTAATACCACACACTGTGTAACGCATAGTCGGTGCTCAAGAAATATTTCTTGAATTTAAAAAATGCATGTTATCTGTGATGTTAAACTAATGCATAGACAAGTGTCATACACCCTGGAAAGTAACAAATATGGGCAATTATTTTATTTCCTTCCATCAATTTCCTGTTTTTTTGAGACAAGAGTCTTGCTCTGTCATTCAGGCTGGAGTATAATGGTGTGATCTCGGCTCATTGCAAGCTCTACCTCCTGGGTTCAAGTGATTCTCCTGCCTTGCCTTAGTCTCCCAAGTAGCTGGGGCTAGGGGTGCGCGCCACCATGCCCAGCTAATTTTGTATTTTTGGTAGAGGTGGAGTTTTACCATGTTGGCCAGGCTGGTCTTGAACTGACCTCAGGTGATCTGCCTTCCTCGGCCTCCCAAAGTGCTAGGATTATAGGCACGAGCCACCGCACCTGGTCTGCCTTCTCATTTCTGATCACGTCACTCCTGTACTGTAGTCACTCAGCCTAGTCTCTCACTTTGCCAGCCCCCATCTCACAAGCCTACAGGTAGCCTCCCTGTGCTTGCAGGCTCAGCCTCCTTCAGGAAGTTCTCAGCTCTTTACATTTCCAAATTCCAGCCTCAAAGCCCATTCTCATCACGCAAGCCTCTGAAGCCCTCGGTTTTCTGAAATGTTGCTCCCGGCCCAAGAGACCAGAGATGTGGCTACCTTCTCATAATGTAGATGTTTCCATTGCGGCAGGCCGCAGCAAGCCGGAATTCGACATCAAACTGGCCAGAAACCTCTAGGAAGACGGGGACGCTGGGAAGGCTCATCTGCAAAGAAGAGGCGCAAACACTCCAATTTCTCTGGAGCCCCCGCCCCTCCCTGCCCTGAGAGTAACTCCTCTGAGTGAAAGCCTGGTCTAAAGTCCCAGTCTCCTCACTCACACCCAGTTGAAACTCATACAGTTTTTCAGGAGGGGGCAACATTTAGCAAAAGCCTTTTAGTCTGTGCCTTTTGACTAAACGATGCCACTTCTATGACTGCATTCTAAGGAAGTACTTAAACATCCATGCAGCCAGGAGCGGTGGCTCATGCCTGTAATCCCAGCACTTTGGGAGGCTGAGGTGACCAGCCTGTTCAACATGGTGAAACCCTGTCTCTACCAAAAGTACAAAAACTTAGCTGGGCGTGGTGACCTGCATCTGCGGTCCCAACTACATGAAAAGCTGAGGGAAGAGGATTGCTTGAGCCCAGGTGGTAGAGGCTGCAGTGAGTTCAGATTGCACCACTGTACTTCAGCCTGGGTGACAGAGCAAGACTCTGCCTCAAAACCAAAAACCAAAACAAAACAAACGGTTCAGGTGGTTTTACAGATATAGAAAGACACTGATGATATGCGGCTACATGAAAAGAACATGGTACATGATCCTCCTGCTTTTATTTATTTATTTATTTGTTGTTTTAAGAGACAGGGTCTTACTCTGTCACCCAGGCTGGAGTGCAGTGCCACAATCATAGCTCACTGCAGCCTCAAACTCCTGGGCTCAAGCCATCCTCCTGCCTTGGCTTCCCAAAGCACTAGGATTAGAGGCATGGGCCACCACAACTAGCTAATCCTGTTTTTATAAAGATAAATATTTACATAAAGTTATATATCTATGTCTAAATATGAAAATGTCTAGAAGAACCTGTGCCTCAACCTTAACAGTATATATCCATGGTGGTAGGATTTTTGGCTATATATCTTTCTTCATGCTTATCTAGTTTCTAATTTTTCTACAATGAACATACATATTACCCAGAACTAACTGTGGAGCATGGGGAGAGAATGAAGCCTGGGCCTCCAGTGTGTCCAGGGCCAGGCCTGACACTGACCTTTGCTAAAATGGTGAAGGCCTCGGGGTCAAGCACCAGGAGCTCCTTGTTCTCAGTGCCCAGCACCAGGCAAGACACAGCATCCTCGTCAGCCAGGTTCTTCTTCAAGGTGGTCATGGTGGTGATGACTGTCTACAGAAGGACTCCAGGGGTCACCCAGGGAACCCCCACACACCAGCCCCAAGATACTCCCAGGATGTCACAGGAGGGAACAAAGAGGGAAATATCAGAGACGTGACAGAAGATTTAAGTACGAAGGTGTTTATTGCAGCAAATCTAACTTTCTAATGAAAGAGGATTGTTTCAGTCTATTATGAGCTATCCACATTATCAAAAACTATGCAGTCTTTTTTTTTTTTTGAGACAGGGTCTCACTGTCGCCCAGGAAGGAATGTGGTGGTGCAATCTTGGCTCACTGCAACCTCTGCCTCACAGGTTCAAGCGATTCTCCTGCCTCAGCCTCCCGACTAGCTGGGATTACAGGCACACACCACCACTCCCAGCTAATTTTTGTATTTTAAGTAGAGACAGTTTTCACCATGTTGCCCAGGTTGGTCTTGAACTCCTGACCTTGTGACCCACTTGCCTCAGCCTCCCAAAGAGCTGGGATTACAGGCGTGAGCCACTATGTCCAGCTGCAGTCATTTTAAAAAAGTCGTATTTTAAAAAAATATTTGGGCCAGGCTCAGAGGATCATGCCTCTAATCCAGCACTTTGGGAGGCAGAGGCGGGTGGATCACCTGAGGTTGGGAGTTTGAGACCTGCCTGATCAATATGGAGAAACCCCCACTCTACTAAAAAATACAAAATTAGCTGAGCGGCCTACTTGTTCCTTTTGTAATTATAATGAGCGAGAAAACAAAAAATAAAATATCTCCTTTGTAAGGAATTTCTCCTACAGAAATTAGCAGAAGCAAAATGTTTTCATTTAGATAAAGCTGCTCATTGTGTAATTATCATTAAGACTGAAAAAGATGGCTGGGACAGCAGCTCACACCTGCAATCTCAGCACTTTGGGAGGCTGAGCTGGGAGGACTGCTTGAGCTCAGGAGTTCAAGACCAGCCTGGGCAGCAAAGTGAGACCCCGTCTTTGCAAAATATAAAAATAAAAAAATTAGCTGGGTGTGGTAGCATGTACTTGTAGTCCCAGCTACTCAGGTTGAAGGGGCAGGATCACTTGAACCCAGGAGTTTGAGGCTGGAGTGAGCCATGATCACGCCACTGCACTCCAGCCTGGGTGACAGAGGGAGACCCAGCTCCACCCTTCCCCCAAAAATATTTATTTTAAGAGGAATTATTTTCAGTGCCTAATGGAAGGAGAAAGGTTACAAAAATGTGGACAGATAGTAGTAGTAACTATTCCCATTCTAGATGTTAATGGTAACTCAAAGATGTGAGTGGTTGGCTGGATACAGTGGCTCATGCCTGTAATCCCAGCACTTTGGGAGGCTGAGGTGGGTGGATCACCTGAGGTCAGCAGTTCGAGGCCAGCCTGACCAACATGGCAAAATTCCATCTCTGCTAAAAATACAAAAATTAGCTGGACATGGTGGCACATGCCTGTAATCTCAGATACTCAGGAGGCTGAGGCAGGAGAATCGCTTGAACCCGGGAGATGGAAGTTGCAGTTAGCTGAGATTGTGCCACTGCACTCCAGCCTGGACGACAGAACGAGACTATCTCAAAAAAAAAAAAAAAGCTGTCACTATTAACTGGAATGTGGAAGGCACTGCAGCTTTATGACTATACACACATGGCATGGCTGGAAGGGATACAGCAGACACTGGTTGGGTTTCCTTATAGAATTTACCACTAATATTAAGTGGTCTTTTAAAAAATATATAATTTTTTTTTACAGGGAACTAAAAAGAGAAGGGGGTGTTACCTGCCGCTTGATGGACTTGGACTTGTGTTGGTTTACAAATGCCTCCATTTCACTCAGCTCCAGCTGCAGAAAACTAGACACACACAGAACTGGCATCTGCAGGCCCTGGGCTGGCTGCCCTCCTCCATCAATCTGGCAGCTGCTTCTGCCCGTGCCCCCCCAGCCTCCCAAGCCCTGGCCCTCCACAGGGCGCTTACCTGAGTGACTGGACGGATAAAGGCTCCTCTGCTGTCTCGCTGCAAAGAGAGGGGCCAGCATAGCAGCTGAGTGGAGCAACGGGAACCTGGGCTCAGATGGCATGAAGGAGTGGGGAGGGATGAAGGGGAAGGCAGGCTCTCACCGGATGCTCTCCAGCATCTCCTTCAGGGTTAAGGGGTCGATCTGGTCCTGTGACAATGTGGGAAGGAGGGAGAGCCTGTGAGCTCAAGCCAGGCAGGAAACTCAAAGCCCACGCCCTCAGAGAGCTCCACACTTCTGGATGCACCTCTTGGTCTCTGCCTCTCTGCCAGCCTGCCTCTGCACTGAGCCCCAAGCTCATGCCCTGTATCTGAACCCAGCTTCAGGGCCATGTATATCATCCCCTTTACCAACAGCTCCCCAAGTTCCCCCCTTCTCCTGGTGCTTCCAGTCCTCCTTCTGATAGGCTCCTACCTTCTTTGGTTTCATCTCCCCCAAAGTTGAGCAGGGGTGTGGCTGGCTAGTGCAGAGGAATTTTCTGGGTTCTACTCTCCAAGGGGACTGGCTCTGTGCCTCTTTGGGAACCACTGCTCAGTAGCCAAGCACAGTATCTTGCCCAGAAGTGCCACCATCAGGCTGAGCAAGGTGGGTCATGCTTGTAATCCCAGCACTTTGGGAAGCCAACACAGGTGGATCATGTGAGGCCAGGAGTTCGAGACCAGCCTGGCCAACATGGTAAAACCCCGTCTCTACTAAAAAAGTACAAAAAATTAGCTGGGCGTGATTGCCAGCACCTGTAATCCCAGCTACTTGGGAGGCTGAGGCAGAAGAATTGCTTGAACCTGGGAGGCGGAGGCTGCAGTGAACTGAGATCGTGCCATTGCACTCCAGTCTGGGCAAGAATGAAACCCTGTCTCAAAAAAAAAAAAAAGACCACTGCTGCTGTCCGAGATGGACTATAGCTGATCTCCTACCACCAGCCCACCTTCTTCCCAGGAGCCCAGCCCTCCTGACCCCCTGGCTGCCATCTTTGCCTGCTGGTTCCCACCTCCCATGTTATTTACCTCTTTGGCCTGGTTCCAAAGGTCTTGTTCCAGAGGGTTTGGAGGCAATTGGGGCAGGCTGAACTTGAAGTAGGGTCTGAGATTCTTATACACATAGACACAAGGGCCTGAAGCAAGTGCCAGAGCTGGGGTCCGGGGCTCATGTGGCTCCATGAAGAAGGTGGCGGCCGCAGCTGGTAGAGCAGGTAGCGGGCTTTTGGTCATCACCAGTGGTCCTTTGAGCACCTTCAGGCGGGGCTGCTGCCCACCAGGGCCAAGGTCTCCTACCACCAGCTGCAGGGAGAAGGTGGCTCATTCTAGGCTCAGGGTCTGAAGATCTTTCCACTTGACCCTCTTCTTGCCTTGTTGCTGGTGTGCACTAATTCACTTCTGCACCAACAAAGGCTTTGTCCTCGGGCTTTCAAGCTGCCTGACCTTGGGAAAGCTGACTAGCCTTTCTGAATCTCAGGTTTCCCGCTTGCAAAATGGGAATACTTTCCTTGTGATATGTGGTACAAATCAAATGAGATAATGAGTTATACAGAACCTGGTAAGTGCTACTGAGGAGTAAGTGGCGGTTGATGTTTTTATTATTCATTTGCAAACGATTCTTCCATGCCAGGGACTTTTAGAGAGACACTGGGACAGTGGTAGAGGTCAGTTGGGGAAGGGATGGGGACACCTGTATCTGGGTTTCCAAATGCAGGGCAGGATGTGCTCTGTGGACACAGAGAGGGGAACCAAGCTCTTTGGTCTCTCAGTTTTCCACCCTCCAAGCCATCTTCCAAGCCGCTGAAGCTGCCACACAAGCCCGTTCCCCTGAATGAGGCCTGCAAGACCCCTCTAATCTAGTTCTCAACTTGTTTCCTATCACCTTGCCATTGCTGTGTTCCAGCCAGAAAGAGGGTCCCCAAGAATGCCTGGATACCGAGCATGTAGTATGTGCCAGAGACCACATCAGGAACTGCATGCATCCTTTAGCTCTCCCAACAATCTTATTATTATTATCATTATTATTATTATTTTTAAGACAGAGTGTTGCTCTTATTGCCCAGACTGGAGTGCAATGGCCTGATCTCAGCTCACAGCAACCTCCGCCTCCCAGATTCAAGTGATTCTCCTGCCTCAGCCTCCCAAGTAGCTAGGATTACAGGCATGCAACACCACACCCAGCTAATTTTGTATTTATAGTGGAGATGGGGTTTCTCTACGTTGGTCAGGCTGGTCTTGAACTCCCAACCTCAGGTGATCCACCCACCTTGGCCTCCCAAAGTGCTGGGATTACAGGCGTGAGCCACCATGCTTGGCCTAACAATCTTATCATTTTTAAGAGACTGGGTTGGCCGGGCGTGGTGGCTCATGCCTGTAATCCAAGCACTTTGGAGGCCAAGGCAGGCGGATCACCTGAGGTCGGGAGTTCAAGACCAGCCTGACCAACATAGTGAAACCTCGTCTTTAAAAAAAAAAAAAAAAGAGAGAGAGAGAGAGAGAGAGAGAGACTGGGTCTTGCTCTGTCACCTAGGCCAGAGTGCAGCGATGCAATCATGGCTCGCTGCAGCCTTGAACTCCTGGGCTTAAGCGATCTTCCCACCTTAGCCTTCCAAGCAGCTGGGACTACAGGTGTGCACCACTATACCGGCTTTCAACAACCTTATGAAGTAGGTGCCATTAGTAGCCTCATTTCTCAAATGAGAATGCTGTGTCTTAGAGATGTTAAGTAAAAGTCACACAGCTATTAAGTGGGACAGCTAGGTCTGTCTGAATCCAAAGCCACAGTCTTTACTACTATTTTATGTGGTAGTTATTTTATATAGGCCTGAACTTTCTAACTTCACATTTACTCTTTCCAAGTATGCTATGAACTTCTAAGTGATCTGCTCGTGCTGTTCCTTCTACCTGAAATGTCTTCCCCATCCTCGCATCCTTGCCTTCTCGAGAGGCTTCATTCATCTCTCAATGCCCAGTGTGAACATTACTGCCCCCGGTACCTCCAGATAGAATCCATTGTTCTCACTGGTGCTCCCATATTACTTTCTACATGTTCAATTTTAGCATCTACTCACCTCCCCACAAATATTTATCAAGTACTACTTTGTCCCAGGCACTGGGCTAGATGCTAGGACTCAATGGTGAATAAACTGGCTATTAAACATTCTATTACGTGATGATACTTAATATTTCTTTTTTTTTCCCCAGGCAGCACTGAAGGAAAACATTTCTTATTAGCTACTGTGTCTATGGTTTCTTCTCCCTCACTATTGTAAGCCCAGGGCTAAACACAAACTAGGTGTTCAATCAATATTACAAAATAATAATTGTCAACGGTGTCTGTATCTCCTCCTATGTGCTGATGGATTTCTGAATATAGTGTCCCCACAATGCCTGACACACAGTGGGGACTCACTATACATTTCTCAGTATACACTTCCTGAATTACTGAATGCATTATGGATAGGAATTTGGGGGCAAAAGCCACTGGGTCCTATTGCACTCTCCGAATGGGGTAGGATTTCAGGACTCTTCTAGCCACCCACATGATATAGCTATTGTGGTGCTGTTGCCTATAGTAAGGGCTGAGCTATGGTAGAAAAAGTGCAGGACTTGGAATCAAACAGACCCAGTTACAAATTCAATAAACTTAACTTCTTTGAAACTATTTTCCCATTAACAAAATGGGAATAAATAAAATCTGTGTTTATGAATGTGCCTCCATGGAAGGTCTAGTCCAGAAATGGATACTGAATCCATGTTACCTTCATTTATTCTATCCCAATATACTTCTCTACCTTTAAAAAACTATGTCTTAGGGCTGGGCGCGGTGGCTCACGCCTGTAATCCCAGCACTTTGGGAGGCCAAGGCGGGTGGATCACGAGGTCAAGAGATCCAGACCATCCTGGTCAACATGGTGAAACCCCGTCTCTACTAAAAATACAAAAAATTAGCTGGGCATGGTGGTGTGTGCCTGTAATCCCAGCTACTCGGGAGGCTGAGGCAGGAGAATTGCCTGAACCCAGGAGGCGGAGGTTGTGGTGAGCCGAGATCGCGCCATTGCACTCCTGCCTGGGTAACAAGAGCGAAACTCTGTCTCCAAAAAAAAAAAAAGTATGTCTTTTTAAACTTATTTATATTTTTATTTAAAATTGTGTGTGTGTGTGTGTGTGTGTATTTGAGATTGAGTCTCACTCTGTCATCCAAGCTGGAGTGTAGTGGCACAATTTCAGCTCATTCAACCTCCACCTCCTGGGTTCAAGTGATTCTCCTGCCTCAGCTTCCCAAGTAGCTGGGATTATAGGTGCCTACCACCATGCCCTGGTAATTTTTGTATTTTTAGTAGAGGCAATTTTTCACACATGTTGGACAGGCTGGTCTCAAACTCCTGAGCTCAAGTGCTCCACCCACCTCAGCCTCCCAAAGTGCTGGGATTACAGGCGTGAGCCACCATGCCCAGCCTTAAAATTAAATTTAAAATTTAACCTTTTTCTACGGAAAATTTTCATTCATATACAAAAGTGGAGACTCATATAATGAACCCCCATATACCCCATTATCCAGCTCCAACAATTGACAGCTTATGGCCAATCTTAAAATCTTTTGATAAACATAAAACTCTCACTTCCCTCCCTTTTACTTTCCCTCCAGATTCTAATGCCCACCCCCAACCAAGGGATTTGCCCTTCCAACAAGAAAATCATGTTACTTTCTGCAGTCTGTGTTACGAAATCAATAAGTTCTCTTCACTTTCCATATAAAAACAAAATTTAATGCGAAATGTGCTTTTTCACAGCATATGTGAATTCCAGAGTATGCTGGGCCTCTTTTCAGCAGTCAGAAAATCTCATTTCTGGGTACACCCCCCTGCCCCCAACTCTCCTGCTAGGGTGATATGCTTACCTTGTATTCCCCATCCCCATGCAAATCTGCCAGCGCTGGAAAACAAAAGGGCCAAAACCGGGGTCTCAGAATCTCAGAGGCTTCACTACAGGACCATCGTCTGACTCCCCATCCCCCTAGAAGCCAGGGTTCCTGGTTCCAGAGACTCACCTAAGCAGGCAGAAAAGGTGTGGATGTTGGCCATTGGGTCGTAGTGCGCATCCAACCATTTCGAATTGGCCTCATTGCTGGGAGTGGGAGAAAGAGAGTTGGGGGAGAGTGAGTACCACAGGAGGGGAAGAAAACTTTGAGTGAGCTGGTACAGGTCACTCATGAACATAAGACTAGTACGTCTGGGCCGGGCGCGGTGGCTCAAGCCTGTAATCCCAGCACTTTGGGAGGCCAAGGCGGGTGGATCACGAGATCAAGAGATCGAGACCATCCTGGTCAACATGGTGAAACCCCGTCTCTACTAAAAATACAAAAAACTAGCTGGGCATGGTGGCGCGTGCATGTAATCCCAGCTACTCAGGAGGCTGAGGCAGGAGAATTGCCTGAACCCAGGAGGCGGAGGTTGTGGTGAGCCGAGATCGCGCCATTGCACTCCAGCCTGGGTAACAAGAGCGAAACTCCATCTATAAAAAAAGATTAGAACGTCTGGGTACCAGTCCAGGGCTCCGCCACTGGCTCACCGAGCGACCTCCAGACACATATATGCATATCTTGGGCCTCGGTTTCCCTATCTGACGTCTAAGAGTACTTCCAGACTGCCCGAGAACAGAAGCCCAGAGCCCGGGGACCAAGGGACCCTCTTTATACGGGTAGGAAAGGAGGCTTTGAGGAGCCCGCCTTCACCTCTCAGCTCCGCAGCCGTCGGTATCCGATGAGGACACAGCGGCCATCTTGGCAGGCGTCGTCCTGGCAACCAGCCCCGCCCCTGCCGCCGCGTAACGCCCAATAGTGCCCGAGCGCTGGGAAGCGCGAGTACAAAGGTTCCGGGTGCCAAGCTTTCCCAGCCAGGCTCAGGAGACCCTGGGGAGGACGCGCTGGCCACCTTCCTGGGTTGAGGAATCTCTCTTCCTAGCTCATTTATCTTTGTTCCTTTCTAATGAGAGCCACCTTTCCAGGTGTCTGGGTCCTTCAATCTCTGGGTCAGCCACAGAGCCCTCTGTCTTCCAGGGCTGGAAAGAAGCCCCTTCTAGCATTTATGAGCAGCAAAACGAACTCCTGTCTCCATCTTCATGGCCCGGTGAGGAGCCATGTCCTGTCTTGCTGTCTTATTCTAGAGGTCCAGGCACAGAGAAACAAAACACAAGAGTTAAGGGGCAAATGCAGAGGATTCTGACTGAAGTTGAGTTTGTAGGTTCCAAGAACATTTAAAAATGGAAGAAGGCTGAGTGCGGTGGCTCACACCTGTAATCCCAGCACTTTGGGAGGCCAAGGCGGGTGGCTCACGAGGTCAGTAGTTCGAGACCAGTCTGGGCCAACATAGTGAAACCCCGTCTCTACTAAAAATACAAAAAATTAGCTGGGCATGGTGACGGGCGCCTGTAATCCCAGCTACTCAGGAGGCTGAGGCAGGAGAATTGCTTGAATCTGGGAGGAGGAAGTTGCAGTGAGCCAAGATTGCACCATTGCACTCCAGCCTGGGCAACAAGGGTGAAACTCCGTCTCAAAAAAAAAAGAAATGCCACAAAGGAGGGCTGCAAAAATCATGCTGTGTTCAGCTCTGTGACTGTATATCCTCATCTAGAGACAATGTCAACATCTTGTTGTGGAAGGGAGGCTTTCCCTCTCCCCAGGCCTTGAGCCCATCACCCTCCTGCTGGGAGCAAATGAGAAGTCAGACAAAGGCAAGGAGGAGCCACACACGCCGCAAAGATGATGGTTGTCTCTGATATTTATTTGTCTGGTTATAAAATTAATATGTGAGGAGCATTGGATTTGGTGAGAAGGTTTTGAACCCTAGCTGTCACGTGTCTCTTGTGGGATCTAGACCAGTGACTTCTCAGAACTGCCATTTCCTCATCTGGTAGACGGGATGGTGAACCCTGTCTTGCTCACCTCACACATGGCAGTGCAGATGAAATGAGATCAGAGGGGAAGCACTTGGCAAGCTGGAAAGTGCTGACAAATGGAAGCGGTGTCACCACCCTCAGCTGAGGTAGTACCAAGGTCCATGCTCCTGCCCCTTCCGCTCCCCTAGCCCCTAAATACACACATGAATGGAGGGCCACTTGCAGCCTTGGTTTGATGGAGTTGGGGGAGAGGCCACACACATCTTCCTCAAGCCTGGCCAGATGGGGCCTCACTGGGGCCCTTCCAGAATCGGGCATCGGCTGTGGCCAGCTGGGTGAGAATCTCCTCCAGCTCAGGCCCATCCTCTGGGAAACGCTCAGTGAAGGATCGGATGAGGCCAGCAGCTGAGGCCTCGTATTCCAGAAGCTGCACATCTGAGCCTGGGGAGGAGATGGAGAGAAAACAGCGGCAGGAAAGGGTCTGAATTGGGATACTAAATCATCATAATAGTCTTGATAATCACAATCACAGCAGCAACTGTTTCCTACTGAGCTCTGCAAAAAAAAAAAACAAACACCTGTGCTCTACATTTTAGGTTAATTACTTCATTTAATCTTTACACTAACCCTGTGAGGAAGGAAATACTACAGAGGGAGTATTAAATGCATGGCTACTTTCATTCATTCATTCATTCAGTCAGTCAAATAAAGATTTAGGCTGGGTGCGGTGGCTTATGCCTGTAATCCTAGCACCTTGGGAGGCCAAGGCGGGAGATCACCTGAGGTCAGGAGTTTGAGACCAGCCTGGCCAATATGGTAAAACCCTGTCTCTACTAAAAATACAAAAAAATTACCCGGGCATGGTGATGTGTAGCTGTAGTTCCCAGCTACTTGGGAGGCTGAGGCTGGAGAATCGCTTGAACCTGGATGGCAGAGGTTGCAGTGAGCCGATTGTGCCACTGCATTCCAGCCTGGGTGAGACTCCATCTCAAATAAATAAATACATACATACATGCGTACTAAACTAACTAACTAAATAAATAATAAAATATTTAGCTGGGTGCAGTGGCTCATGCCTGTAATCCTAGCACTTTCAGAGGACAAGGTGTGTGGATCACGAGGTCAGAAGTTCAAGACCAGCCTGGCCAATATGGTGAAACCCTGTCTCAACTAAAAATACAAAATTAGCTGGGCATGGTGGTAGGCACCTGTAATCCCAGCTCCTCGGGAGGCTGACGCTGGAGAATTGCTTGTCCTGGGAGGTGGAGGTTGCAGTGAGCTGAGATTGCACCACTGCCTGTGGTACAAAGTGAGACTCTGTCTCAAAAAAGAAAGTTTTTATGGTATATCACCATCTCAGCCTTTGAAAATCCTAACTGTTCTTCAGATCTAGTGGGAACCACCACTTCTTCCCTAGAACGTTCCTGGATACTCTTGAAGATGGATGCGATCTTCCCTCCTCTAAGTGTTTAGAGTTTTGTTTATATCTTTTGGCTATTCATTAACATTTCCCTTGTATGATGATTTATCTCCATATCTTATCATCCCCAATAAGCTGTGATCACCTTTGGATCCCCAGTGGCTCCTCCATAGCTTGCACAGGGCTAGACATAACAAAGCAATTGATGATATTGTCCACATGGCTGACATGATTTGTTAATGCACTCATTTGGATCTATAAGAATCTTTTTTTTTTTTTTTTTTTGAGATGGAGTTTCACTCTTGTTACCCAGGCTGGAGTGCAATGGTGCGATCTTGGCTCACTGCAACCTCCGCCTCCTGGGTTCAGGCAATTCTCCTGCCTCAGCCTCCTGAGTAGCTGGGATTACAGGCACACGCCACCATGCCCAGCTAATTTTTTGTATTTTTAGTAGAGACGGGGTTTCACCATGTTGACCAGGATGGTCTTGATCTCTTGACCTCGTGATCCACCTGCTTCGGCCTCCCAAAGTGCTGGGATTACAGGCTTGAGCCACTGCGCCTGGCCGAATCTTTTTTTTTTTTTTTTTAATAGAGACAGGGTTTTGCCATGTTGGTCAGGCTGGTCTTGAACACCTGCCTCAGCCTCCCAAAGTGCTGGGATTACAGGCATGAGCCACCAGGCCTGGCCTCATTTAACAGTTACTGAGCAGCTCCAGTGTGCCAGGTTGTACATGAGGCACTGGGGTATGCTGCTCCTGCCATCATGAGATGTGACCAGCAAGAAAATGGGCAAGTGTGATGGGCACATGAAGAAAATGAAGCTGGGTGGCAGAACAGAGAGGGACTGAAGCAGGTACTTTAGGTTGAGGGGTCAGAGACAACCTCTCTCACAAGGTGCCATTTTACAAGGACCTGAAGGACAAAAAGAACCAGACAGGCAGCTGGGCGCAGTGGCTCACGCCTGTAATCCCAGCACTTTTGGGAGGGCGAGGCAGGTGGATCACAAGGTCAGGAGTTTGAGACCAGCCTGGCCAACATGGTGAAACCCCATCTCTTCTAAAAATACTAAATTAGCCAGGCGTGGTGGTGCATGCCTGTAATCCCAGCTACTCGGGAGGCTGAGGCAGGAGAATCACTTGAACCTGGGAGGCAGAGGTTGTAGTGAGTGGAGATTGTGCCATTGCACTCCAGTCTGGGCAATAGAGTTAGATTTGGTCTCAAAAAAAAAAGAACCAGACAGGCAAAGATCTGGAGGAAGATCATGCCAAGCAGCGAGAACAGTCTATTCAAAGGCTATAGGAGTGGAGCGAGCTCAGGGGGTAGAAGAAACAGAAGGGTCAGGAGCCTGGAGGACAGGGAGCCGGGGAAGAGGCAGTGAGGCTGGCAAGGGCTGGGGCCAAATCCCGTAAGCTTCTTGAGGGCATGGAAAAGCATCTAGAATGAGCCTTTTTTTTTTTTTTGAGAGGGAGTCTCGCTTTGTCACCAGGCTGGAGTGCAGTGGCGCAATCTCAGCTCACTCCAACCTCTGACTCCCTGGTTCAAGTGGTTCTCCTGCCTCTGTTTTCTAAGTAGCTGGGATTATAGGTACAGATCACCATGCCCAGCTAATTTTTGTATTTTTAGTAGAGATGGGGTTTCACCATGTTGGCCAGGATGGTCTTGATCTCCCGACCTCACAATTCTCCCGCCTCGGCCTCCCAAAGTGCTGGGATTACAGGCGTGAGCCACAGCGCCAAGTCAAGCATCCTAATAAATGCTTTTTCCCCTGGGCATGGTGGCTCATGCCTGTAATCCCAGCACTTTGGGAGGCTAAGGAGGGTGAATCACTTTGAGCTCAGGAGTTTGAGATCAGCCTGGCTAACATAGAGAAACCCCATCTCTACAAAAAATATAAAACTTAGGTGGCTGTGTAGTCCCAGCTACTCGGGAGGCTGAGGCTGGAGAATCACTTGAGCCTGGGAAGCAGAGTCAAGGTCTGCAGTGAGTCAAGGTCGCACCACTGTACTCCAACCTGGGTGATAGAGTGAGACCCTGTCTCAAAAAAAAAAATAAATAAATAAAAATAAATAAGGCCAAGTGTGCTGGCTTACGCCTGTATTCTTAGCACTTTGGGATGCCAAGGTGGGCAGATCACTTGAGGTCAGGAGTTCGAGACTAGCCTAGCCAACATAGCAAAACCCTGTCTCTACTAAAAAAAATACAAAAATTGGCCAGGCGCGGTGGCTCACACCTGTAATCCCAGCACTTTGGGAGGCCGAGGCAGGTGGATCACGAGGTCAAGAGATCGAGACCATCCTGGTCAAGAAGGTGAAACCCCGTCTCTACTAAAAATACAAAAAAATTAGCTGGGCATGGTGGTGCGTGCCTGTAGTCCCAGCTACTCGGGAGGCTGAGGCAGGAGAATTGCCTGAACCCAGGAGGTGGAGGTTGCCGTGAGCCGAGATTGTGCCATTGCACTCCAGCCTGGGTAACAAGAGTGAAACTCCGTCTCAAAAAAAAAATACAAAAATTAGCCAGGTGTGGTGGCAGGTGCCTGTAATCCCAGCTACTCAGGAGGCAGGCCAATCATTT